GTCTGCCAAGCTCTCTTCCACTGGGCATAGCCCTCCGATTCTCCGAAAGTTTTGGGATTGCCAAGCTCAAATTGATTCTCACAGGTTTTGAAACATGAGAAGTCGATGGAGCGAAAGACAGGAAGATACATTGACGACAAAGCTTTGCACTTCTACTACGCGTCCACATGGATGTAGACGTCGTCCCTGAAATGGTTGCCGCCTCCTGCCATCTTACACCTCTTGGCCAATTCTACATAAACCGCTCTGCAAACCTTGCCTCTCACTGTCTCATCAAAATCCTTGCTTTGCCAGGTGATTCTCAAGAGGTCTTTTGCCCTTCGCACAGTAGAGGCTTGTGCGTCCCTAACCTCATAGATGAAACCTGCAAGCTTCCTTTCATGTTCACCCTGAAGACCCTCTATTGGTGCCAAATCTGGCGAATTACCGGGATGGTTTACAAACACGATACCTTGCTGTTGAATCTCGGGCTGCAATAGCTGTCTGGCTTTCAGATGCGGTCCATGATTATCCTCTTGTATCACCACTCTCCTGCCTGGGTTGCGTCTACATATCTCGCGATAATAAGGAAACAAGAGCTTCCTGTACACTTCGAAGGCATACCACACAAAATTGAGCTTCTTGGTCCCTTCCTTTATATCATGGCTCTGGTAAGGAAAGAGACGTTCGACAGTCCATTCCTTGGGGCCGCCGCTGTCGTTGGCGTTGGCACGCATCCATAGACGTTTAATCTTGACCTGTGTGTTCATCCAAACAAGGTACTGGTGTTCGGGCGTGCCATGGACTCTGGCATTGGCACGCTGTTCATCGGTGATTCTCCTCGCTTGCGCATTACACTCATCCAGCTGCTTCTGCAGCTCCTCGGAAGTTTGGTCCCGAAGCTCCCAGACAGTCCAGGGTCTCTTCACAGAACAGTCGTCACCACAAGCAGCAGCCCATTGTTCGAGTTTGAAACGTGTCGGTGCACAACTTTGGTACGAGCTCGTGTTTATTGGTAAAGTCACATGCCGGTCGGGCGTGCCGCCAAAGTGATAGGCCTTCTCGTCACAACATATGATAATTGCCTCTGCCTGCTCCAGCTGTTCGACCTCAAAGAGATATGCCTGACGTTTTGCAATGTTGGCAGCGCTGAGCTCGTTGCGTCTGTACACACGGTGCCGCGTGTATACCCTTTGGTCCTCTGGGTCAGCAGCACACTGCTCAGAGTCTTGCAAGATGTTATACACCTGCTGAACTCCCAGTGGTCGAATGTTCTGGTCGATCTCGCCGAGTACCTGGCGTTCCCTGAGAAAACGGTTGGCTGCGTTGTCCATCGCCTGGTATGGGTGTTCTCGAACACCTCTTCGGACAGTGAGAGATACCTCATCGCCAGGATCAGCCCTCCTTGGTCTGCCACTACGTGGCTGAACACTGACCGCCGCTTGTAAATCCGCCAGATCTGAAGTTGGACTGCGAGCTCTTGCGGCTCGGACGAGATTATGCACAGTCGATCTTGTCAGGTTTAATCGTCTCGCGATTTCGACTTGAGGCATTGACAGATCAAAAGCGTATGCAATGGCGCAATGACGCTTCCAAGCTGGAGTTTCAGGGCCTCTTCCCATGGTGTCATGGAACTGTTGCAGAGGGTGCTTCTGTAGTGGCGACGGTTCTCAATACAGCTGAGGATCAGTTCCGCCAGCTTGTAGGTGCGGATAGCCCCGTAGCTTGGCAAAATCCCAAAACTTTCGGAGAATCGGAGGGCTGCTGAGAAAAGCGGCCGCAACCGAGTACAGTAAGGCACAATTCATCAATCAATCAATCATCAATCCGGGTTCATCCATACCTG